CAAAGTTTAGCATTGGTTCTCAGGAACTGCCATTTCTCATGCAGAACGAGAATGGATTTCACTAAAAATGTAACTGATAACATTGAACTCTTAAAGGATAAAAAGGAAGAATTCCTTCAAGATTATATTGGCTTCCCAGAAACTGAGTGGTGTGAGCAATGTCTCTCCTCTGAGTACTTAGCCAGATCCAGAGAACACTTAGAGCTGTGCTTGTGGAGCTTTGGGTGAGCGTCCTGAGATTCATGTACTTGGACACTTTCCCCCAGCTGGTTTGGCTTTGTTGGAGGAAGTGTGTCACAGAGGCCCAATTGAGAGTTTAAAAGACTCCCCTTTCTGGTTGCTCTGTTTTGTGCTTAGTTTCAAAATGTGAGCTCAGCCAGCTGTCCCTGCTGCCATCATGGACTGTCCCTCTGCAACCATAAGCCCAAACACACTATTTCATAAGTTGCCCTGGTTTTGGATCTGTGCCACAGCAACAGAAAGACAACTAATAAAACTTTGGGAACTGGTATTCTGATGAAGACTTCGACAGGGATTTCCACCTGTCAAACACTTAGCACTCACGTGACTCCCACTGACATGAGCACCAATGTGTGTGTTGTGTTATGCGAAGCATGGCTTCACTGTCGGCTGCATCTCATGCAAACCCGACAGCAATGAGCATGTTTTGCAGATGCTGTGGCATGCTAAGGTTTACGTCTTCTTGGAGTTCTCTCAGATGGAGTTCAGAATTCTGTTCTGAGGTTTGTTGTGTCGGGCTCTTAGTCTGACAGATTTAAGACAAATCCTGGCAAAGCACTAAACAGTCCTTTTACTGCTTTGGAGTTTTAGTGTAATTAAGAAAAGCCAAGTGAATTTAATCATTTCAATACAAAGGAAACAATTACATTATCCAGCTGGCACGGTAAGTACATTTCTGCAGAAACAATTGCTCTCCAGAATTTGGTCTGAGTCTGATTATTTCAGTATTCTTGATTGAATTTATGTTTTCTGGGAGTTTTCTGCTTCCAGTTATGTAAGGAAGCTTTTGATTATAATGACATTTCCAAATGTGTTGCTAGTCTTAACTTGAAAATTGTAGTCATAAATATAGTAATTGACTATATCAATTCCATCGGCAGGAAAGGAGGGGGAAGGCCAGCAATTCTGATTTGTTGTCTTGTCACGAACATAATTTGTATTGTGGTTTCACCAAAGTGCTCTGCTTCCATCACCACTGTAGATAGACCTTCTCTTGGCTATGCGGAGTAGATGGGGACTACAGACTCACACCAGCAAGTTCAGCCTTTGAACACCTTTCTCCATGGGAAATTTACTGCCCTCATTCACATTACCAGATCCTCAAAACCTGCTGAGGTATGCCTCGCTTGACCTGGAGAAGCAGTTCTGTTTAACCCAAACAGCAGACTAAAGAAAGGATTCCACCCACTCCAGCGTGGTGAGCGAATGAGTTCATTGAGGTTGCTTAAGAGCAAGATGAGTGTGTTCTAGTTTGCTTTCTATTGCTGTGGCAAATGCCCAGAAAGGGTTTCTTTGTGTGGCAGTCCATCTCAAAGAGAAGATAGGACAGGAAGGCAAGGCAGGAAATGAGACCGAAACTGAAGCAGAAGCGACAGAGTTCTACTTACTGGCTTTCAGCTACTTTCCATATTCCACCCAGGACCTGATAGGGGTTACTGCTGCCCACAGTGGGCTGGGCCCTTCCTTCCACCTCACATTAACCAAGACAATGACCCCTACAGGCCAATCTGATGGAGGCATTTTCTCAATTGAGGTTCCTCTAGTCTCTTGAGCTTCCTTCAATCTTTCCTGCCTCCCTTCAATGTACAGAAAACAGAAACGCATTTAATAGTTTAAAATGAGTTTGAAATAGTTTCCAAACCAGGTGAATGAAACATTCTGAACCTTTGGTGGTTTGAGTGACAGTGGCCCCAAAATGCTTGGTCTCTGGTTGGCAAAATATTTCTGGGAAGGGTAAGGTGTGGCCTTGCTGGAGGTTGCCACTGTGGGTTTTCAAAGCCCAAAGCCCATGCTGGGCCCCAGCCTTTCTCCCTCCAGCTTGTGGATCAGGTATAAAGCTCTCAGCTACTGAACCATCACCATGCCTGCCTTCAGCCATGCTCCCCATGATGGTCACAACTCACCCTCTGAAGCCAGAAGCAAGCCCCCAACTAAATGCTTTCTTTTTTAAGTCCCCTTGGCCAGTGTTTCAGCAATAGAGCAGACTTAGGACAGCCCCTAAGTCTGATTCTATCAAGCTTAAGTACTTAATCATAGCATTTGGCCTTGCCAATACTGGTTTGTGGAGTTGACATTCAGCATGCTAGTCAGTGCCAAGTATGGCATGGGCTAAACCTTTTAATTCCAGAAATGCAAAACTGAACAGACCAGTTCTTCAGGATCGAAAGTCAACACTGGCTCTGTAGGGAAACAAATCCTGGCCACACTGCACCCTTCCCCAGTGAACTGCTTTTTTCTGCAGGAATGCACACGGGCGAATAAAACCAAAGTCTGACTTCAGGCCATACCAGAAATACCTAGACTGTCTCTGTGTGGTCTCATGCTTGAAACATTGTTAACCTCAAGAACTCTAGCAAGGACCACAGGCTGAACCGATTTTGCAGAATTGTTTCTGCCAATATTGTCTTATTTAAAACAAACAAAAAACTCTGGTTAGAAATGGTGAAGGGCAGATGTAGCTGAAAGGATCCTAAGTATGTCTGAGGCAATGGTAATGAAGGCTGGATGGGAATGGGGGCACTAATCTTTATCTTGCTCTCCAGTACCAAGGCTAGACAGACTGTTAAGACTCAAGAAAAAGAAATGGTTTAGGTCTGGCAGCTTTCTGTCCTTATTAGTTTGGTAACCTCAGGTGCCTCAATATCTTCAGTAAATTAGACTCAAATGTTAAAACCAGCAGTTGAAAACTAGATGTCTGTGAGTCTGTGTGGACCACACAGATACATAGGGCTAGTGCATATATATTGCCCCCAAGTGGTATCACAACTAATTCTAACAAGTGAATGTTACTGTTTTGAGACCATCTCCCTGTGCAGCCCAATCTGTCCCAGGATGTGTAGCTCAGACTGGCCTTGAACTCGGGGTCTTCCCTTAGTATCCCAGGTGTTGGCATTCAGGTTGTAAATCACACTTGGCTTTAAAACTCCTGCTGCTGGGGAAAGCTATCCTCCAGCCGTGACAGACCTCCTTGTCAACTCTCGGCACCTGAACAACACAGGACCTGCTGTTACGAGTGGGTTTAAGGTCCCACCCTTCACCCCAAGACTTATGGTCATTCGGGGAGGGGCTCCCAAGGTCCCTCTAGTACTGGCCCCTCCCCAGGATTTACAAACAGGCTGCTTTTTTCTTCAGTGGCACAGCCAGTGATGCCTTACGCTCTTACAAGGAACCCCAATCAGGCTGACTCGAAAGCTACACTCACTGTTCTGTCATTGATGTCATAGGTTGAGCACATCTTGGCTCACATATCACCTGTTCGTGTTTACCTATACTTTAAGTCACAAGGGTAAACTCTTAGTCCTTGTAGGGGATGGCACTGTTCAATGGAAGCATCTAATGCCAACACATGGCACTAAAATAATCTTAGGCCTCCAAATAGGTATTGTGAAGTCTACCTCTTGAAACTGCCCACAGTGCCACTGGAGTCAGCTCTCCTTGGGTGTCTGACGGAGCAGCCTTTCTCTTTATCAGAGCTGTGTGACATTGTCTTTGTACAGCTTTCGAGATGACCACGAAGAAGTAATTCCGATAAAGTCAACAAACAGCAGAGAATCAAATACTAGCAGACACTGGTTTGTAATATATTATTTATTTGTCCTTTTTCCTGTCCAGTTTCCTGTCCAGAAACCATGGGGAAAAAACAAAAACAAAAATGAAAAACCTTGGGTTCCAGGACAGTGGCAGCCTAGCTGACATCATTCACAGCTGCCCATGCAATAGAGAGCCATCCAATCAACACTGGGGATGAAATAAATCCTGGGGAGAAAGAGGCCAGCTACTCAAATGAAGAGGAAGACTTCAACTCTAACTCCCAGAAAAAAAAAAAAAAAAAAAAGAACTCCACGTTGAGGTGGTTTTTGTGGATCCTGTGGACATAATGATGGTTCCTGGCAATGAAATGGAATGGCCAAGAGAGGAACAGCATTTCCAGGCCCCTCCATCTTAACTCACAACTCCACAGCTAATGGGAAAACGGGACTCCAAATTCGGGAAAGTTACTAGAATTATCCCTAAAGGTCGGGTTTGGTCTTAAGTAAACTCAAGCCACTTTCCAGAAACAATGCTGGAGAAGCTGTTTGCTATGAAGCTAAAACTTGTTTGTATTTTGAGGTCTAACAGCTCAAGAACGGCCTCGAACTCCCTATGCAGTCACGAAAGGCGTTCTACCTCCCAAATGCAGGGATGGCAGGTGTGTGCCACCAGCAAGAGAAAAAATCATTTTAAAAGCTGCTAAGCGTACAGGACTGAGGGCCTCGCTGTTACACAACACTGTTCAGGGAGCAAACTTCATGACTCACTTCCGCACTGTACAAGTTTACTTCATCAAAAAAACAGAAACGTGAACACAAGGGTTCGAGGTGACGATGGCTGGCATTCAGGTCGTGAAAACCTAACATCAATTAGCTTAAAAGACTATCTTAAGCTTACTGGCACCCATCAAGGCCCCTGAAGTTCGTGTCTTCTCCAACTAGCTCAACTTTTCTAAAGTGTAGAGCCAGAGCGGCATCTTGTTGCCCAAAGTTCGAAAACACCTCTCTACCACTCCTCCGTGCGAAGGACTGGGGAGCTAGGCAAAGTCAATTCTAGAGTAACCTCCCTTTCTCCTGCCCACCACGGGGCAAAGGGGACCTCCCAACCCAGTCGTTGGGTCCCTCCGGCTCCCACAAGGCCTCGAGGGTGGCCCGCGCCCCACTCAAGCTCGGGACGCGTCCCCACCCAGCACCCCGTCCGTCCCGTGACTACACAGCTCTCCGCATTACTCGCTTTTCACCGATTTTATTGGCTGCGGACGGCGGCGGGCTCTGCACCCGTCGGGTTCACTTGCTCTTCACCTTCTGGCTCTCGGTCTTCTTGGGCAGCAGCACGGCCTGGATGTTGGGCAGGACGCCGCCCTGCGCGATGGTGACGCGGCCCAGCAGCTTGTTGAGCTCCTCGTCGTTGCGGATGGCCAGCTGCAGGTGGCGCGGGATGATGCGCGTCTTCTTGTTGTCGCGCGCCGCGTTGCCCGCCAGCTCCAGGATCTCGGCCGTCAGGTACTCCAGCACGGCCGCCAGGTACACCGGGGCGCCGGCGCCCACGCGCTCCGCGTAGTTGCCCTTGCGCAGCAGCCGGTGCACGCGCCCCACCGGGAACTGCAGGCCCGCGCGCGACGAGCGCGACTTGGCCTTGGCGCGCACCTTGCCGCCCTGCTTGCCTCGCCCCGACATGCTCCTCGCCGGACCTAGAGCGCCAACGCCGGCTCGCTCCGTTCCGGGACGCCGCGCGAACTGCAGCCGCGGCCGCCCGTGACAGGCAGGCGCCGCTCCCAATCAGCTCTCGCGAGCGGAGCGCCCGCCTTCCCAGATTCGCCCCAATCAAAAGCGCCCATCTCCAGTCCTCATTTACATAGTTCACGGGCATACTCGGGGGAAGCTGGGACGATTCGTGTCTTTGATCCCAGCACTGGGGAAGCCTGAGGTCGTCCTTAGCCATTCTGAGATCCAGACCACCCTGATAGGAAGGAAGGAGACGGAGGGAGGGCGAGAAAAGAAGGGAGTTAAGGACAGTCATGGGATGGAGTTGAAGTAGGAGGATTACAAAAACAGCGCGGCTACAATGTTGAGTTCTAGACCAAGCTAGGAAGTGAGACTTTATCTCAATAAAATAATATATATATATTTTTGATTTATAAGAAGCAGAGAGTGGCAGTTCTGTGCCTATAATCCCAGCGGATGCAGGAGGATGAAGAATTTGAAATTGAGCCTGGACTAAGAGCAAGACAGCATGGAAACAACAACAAAAAGTCCTGGGAAGTAGCGCCTCTGTCCCCTAGTACGAAGTATTCGTGCAAACTAGGGTCTCCAGTGTGGGGTCGGTAATGACCTGAGTCCAGGGTCTGTGCTCGTCACAGCTCTTCCAGATCAACCACAGCCCCTTGGCTGAATTCCTCCTGCCTGGAAAAGGACACACCTCCTTTACCCACCCAACCTTCCTGGAGAGCATGCCAGAGAGGCTTTGTGGGGTTTTGTTTGTTCTTTGTTTTTTGAGACAGGGTTTCTTTGTGTAGCCCTGGCTGTTCTGGAACTCACTATGTAGACCACGCTGGCCTTGAACTCAGAGATCCACCTGCCCCGGCTTCCCCTAGGTGTGTACAACCAACCACAGCCAGGCTGCAAAAGAAGCTGTGTACAGCTGTCCTGGATGCTGGTCCTCCGTGACCGTTGCTGCTAACAGGCACAATTCCCATTCTCAGAGTCTCCGAGCTACAGTGACAGACTAAAGCAGAAATGCTGTTCCGATGGATGGCAAGGACGGACTCTCTGGGCCCAAAGTTAACGTCACTTGGCTCTGGGGCTCTGTAGGAACTGGAGATGAATCACTCGGCTCCTCCGGTGCCTGGCGGACTTGCGTGCCTGCCGGAAGTCACCACTCAGTGCTCCATCAGCTCTTCAGACTCACAGGCCCCAGCGCTGAAGGAAAAAAGCCTCAACTTGTTCTTTAATTGGAGATTACTTTCCACGGATTCACTCAGGTACTTCAAAGTGATGTAACGTCAGACGTCGATTAAAATATGACGTAGATGATTTTCGTGCCCATTTAATTAAAATATCACAATTTACCCTCTCCCTCTCCTAATTACAACTTGAGTTCGCTGCAATAACGCTCACAGCGCCAAGCGTGACGGGGCCTGCCTGTCATCGTAAGGAGGTGTGGACGGGAGAATCGGTTCAAGGTAAACGTTAGCTACATGTAGATAATAACCCCCCTTCCCGAGCTACATAGGACCCTGTCCCCAACACTTGCGCACGCGCACACATACTCACAAACGTTAGAAAGACACAGCGTTTACGTGTGTTTGTGTCTGTGTTGACTACCACAGTGATGAAGAAACAAGTAGCTGGGGTCTCAAATACCCCTTTGGATCTAATGTATTGCCACCATCCACGTGGCCATCCTGGGGCCAGACAACTCCCTCAGAATCCTGGCTTTACCAGCTGATAGCTGACTTTGACGCATTATTGTTGGTTCCTAAGCATTCAGTGGGTTATAGACCGAGTGTGTACTCATGGCAGATCTCTGGCACGAGAATAGTGCTTCAGTGACTTCTGTAACCAGCTTACGTTTGCGGACAGGGCTGTTTCCTTCTTTTCTTTCTCTCTGTTCCGCTTTTGAGACAGGGTCTCGAGGAGTTTGTCTCCCATTTTTGTAAGAATTCTAAAGAGCAAAGGATTTAAAATCATGAGGTAAAAAATGTAATGATTCAGGCTTTCCCCCACCCCCTCCAGCCATCCTAGAGCTCAACCAACCTTTACCAGACAGAGGGAACAAACAAACAAAATTCTGTTTGAGTTATGGAATTGACAGATTGGGAAGTAACGTAGATTAAAAGCATTTATAAGTATAAAAACAAGGCCTTTGAATGGGGAGGAGGAGTAGCTGAGTCTGCAGAGCTCAGGCTGGCCTCCAGCTGGAGGCCATCCTCCTGTCTCAGCCTCCAAACAGCAGTGATTACAGATGTGAGTCGCCATGCCTGTTTTAAATGCACGCTATGAGAATGACAGGTTGCAATAGTTCAGCTAAGTAACTGTAGAAACAGCTGTTTGGAAAGCAAATACTAATAATGTGTTTGCAAGGCAGGAAAAAACACTGCAAAAACAGCTTAAAACAAATAGGAAGTGAAATGGAAAGTATTTTCTTAACGTGATCCCTCACACCAAAAACAGGCACTAAAACACCTCTCCGTCCCCTCAGGAGACCCACACGTGAAAATGTGAATTGCTTTGGCCTAAGATCTAGTAAGCTAGACTTCTATTGCTTGCTTCTATTCGTTTTCACATTACTTGGTAGTTGGGTAAGAATAAGCATTCTGCTTAGAAAACAAAATAACGAGTTGGAGCGTACTGAGGATAGCAAGCATGATGCGGCCTATTTATTTGCGCTAAAGAGGGCAAAATAAATTGTTGCCTTACACTGTCTAAACTTTCAAATATACTAGGGCACTGCAGATATTGGGGGAGGAATGAAAACTTTTCCTCTTCCAGTCTCGGCTGGAGAAACAGCAGCTGGACGGAAAGAGCAAGGGGGTGGGGCTCTAGGCTCCACCCACCCCTTGCTGTTTTCAAACAGGTCCGCACCCAGGAAATATAAGCTCCTGCGGGCCGGCGGATGCCACAGTTTTCTCTCCAGTCGAAGCTCCTGACTTCCTGAAGATGTCTGGACGCGGGAAAGGCGGCAAAGGCCTGGGGAAAGGAGGCGCCAAGCGGCACCGCAAGGTCCTGCGGGACAACATCCAGGGCATCACCAAGCCCGCGATCCGGCGGCTGGCCCGGCGCGGCGGCGTCAAGCGCATCTCGGGGCTCATCTACGAGGAGACGCGCGGGGTGCTGAAGGTGTTCCTGGAGAACGTGATCCGCGACGCGGTCACCTACACGGAGCACGCCAAGCGCAAGACGGTCACCGCCATGGACGTGGTGTACGCGCTCAAGCGCCAGGGCCGCACGCTCTACGGCTTCGGCGGCTGAGCGGGGCCCCCCCAGACCCACCTGTTGGGTCTCTGCCGTCCACCCACCCCAAAGGCCCTTTTCAGGGCCATCAAAGCACCCGGAAGGGGCTGCGAACACTTGGAAATCGGGCTAGGGTTGCGCTTGGGGACCCTCCTTTGTTCTGCTCTGCGCTCGGGCATCCCAGCGTTGCTGCGTTGTCTCGTGTGCAGATTAGGCCGCGTGGGTGCAGTTCCTCCTCCTCGGCGATGGCGGCCGAGCGCTGTCAGTCCACGGTTGCTTTTTGGGGACCACGCCAAAAGGCGGCACGGAGCCCCGGGGTGGGAGGGGCTCCCTCCCCGGAGGGAGAAGGCAGGGGCAAACTGAGGGAGCACGGGGGCCGAGGCTTGGAACCCCGCAGTAAAGCGACCCTGCAGCTGTTCCCGGCGTCTGGGGGGCCACGGGCAGCATCCGGGGGCTACCGTGGCTGGGGCTGCCCTAAGTCCCCCTGTTGGAGCTCCTCGTGTGCTGAGTTACAGGCCGTCTTCTGTTCTCAGCACCCAGGTGGGGTACCTCACAATCCCTTGTAACTCCGGCTTCCTTAGGACCCCTGCTCGGGTCTGCAAACCCGTTCTTCGTACACGGAACTAAAAACGTAGTTTTCAGTGCCGTAGCTGAGGGAATAGGAGACATTCCTGGGGGTCCCGCAGCAGGAAACCTGGCGATTCATTTGTCTCCTTTTAAGTGCTTTCTACATGGCAGGTAATTGGTGCCAGTTCCCACCACATTTATTTTAAGCGTTGTTAATGACCACTTCAGTAGCTGTGGACGCAATGGAGCCTCTATTTGAACTCGGCCCTGTGAGATTTTGCACAGCTTCATTTTATGTGCAATTTTTTTTTTTTTTTTTTTTTAACCAGACAAGATCTTCTGCCCGTTTGCTGACGATTTACTTGTACCATTATTAGTCTAATGAACTCCTTTTTTTTTTTTTTTTTTTTTTTTTTTGTTTTGTTTTGTTTTATTTGTTGTTTGTTTTTCTAGACAGGCTGTTTATGTGTAGCCTTGGCTGTCCTAAACCTTGCTGTGTAGACCAGGCTTGACTCAAGCTCGGAAATCCACCTGCCTCTGCCTGGAATCAGAGGCATGCGCTCCCAGTCAGGCCTGGCCTATAACTCATTTTCTTAAAGCAAGTGAAAAAGAAGCTGCTATTTTTCTATCTTGAGAAATATTTTCAGTTACAGTTACTTAGTTTTTACTTTCTTGTAAAGTCACATGTTTTATCAAATTTATTAAACACAAAAATGTAATAAAAATGTTCATCGCTACCCCATTTTAACAAGAGTTTTGATCATTTCAGATAATCAAATATTTACATCTATTACTATCAAAGAGAAATTAAATATAAGTACCGTTTAATGTTACACAAATAACAACAAAAACCGTATTGGTGCAGCCCCCACCGTGGAAATCAATGTAGACTTTTCTCAGAAAGCTTAAACTAGAACTGCTGTGTAACCCTGCGGCCCCATCTTGGGTTTGTGTGTGAAAGGCTCTTAGTCACCACAGCTCAGTCATGCCTGGGCATTCTTGTTCATTGCTGCTCTTGTCACCATAGCCAGGAAGTGTGCCTGTCCATCACGAGAAGAATGGAAAAAGAAATTACGGTGTGCGCACCACGTGGGATTTTACACACATGTGAGTGTGTGTGTGTGTGTGTGTGTGTGTGAGTGAGTGTGTCTGTGCAGGTTACAAAACTACACAAAAGGATGCTGGGATGCGGAGGGATGAAATACAGACAACCTGAAAGCAGAAGCCACTTGACTAAGTGTGGGACAGAAGAAAAACCGGCCAGATGCAGAGCAGGGAGGAGGAACGTCAATTATACTACAGAACAAGGCATAATGCTGCCTGGTGTATGAAAACACCACAATGAAGCGCATTCTTAACATTTATCTCGCCACTGTCACCATTCATTCCCGATAGCCTTTGCTCGGTAGAAATCGTAGTTACGCAATGCTCGGTATGAAAGAAAGAAGTTGGATATCGGAGCCTGCGTACTCATGAGGCACTATGACTGAGTAATCGGCCTTCAGGCAACTTATGTGAGGGGAAGGGTGGTAGCATGCTGTTTAAGAGTGGCTAAGAGCACTTAACCAGTGGTTAAGAGCACTGGCTGCTCCCCTGAAGGCCACAGTTTGGTTCCCAGCACCCGCGTTCCTCAGGGCACCTGAGGGTACTCATTGTCATGTACCCACACACATAGTGAAGCCACAGGACTGGCTGGGCATTCAACGCCAGGTCGTAAAGCGATGTGTTCACATAATAAGGTGATAATACCCTGACAAAGAGCGAGTTGGAGGAGAAAGGATTTAGCTGGCGGACAATTCCATCTTACAGTCTGTTGCTGCAAAGAGGTTAAGCCAAGAGCTTAAAGCACAAACTAGTATTCAGCTGGCTTTCTCTACTCTCGACAGTCTGTAAAATGGTGCCTACCCCCTCACTTAACAATCAAGACGATATCCCCCATAGACATACTCGCAGCTAACCTGAAACTCTTCCCTGGCCATTCTAGGTAGTGTCCAGGCCTAATTGGCCTGTTCAGCTGGCAGCAATCAGCAGAGCTTGTGCCTGGCAAGAGGCTGTCCATCTCTTCTCCCTCCACCATAAGCCCAACACAGACTGTAGTGCCTGTGGGGACTTGGATCTGAATGGAAGTATTCCTTCAGAGGTGGAAGGAGACCCTATCTAAGCCGTCCACTTTCCGGTTCCTTGCGGGGTGAGTGCTTATGGGTAGATATGCTACCCTCTCATTCACCCCTCCCCCCAACTTCAGTGTGTGAGTTTCCAAATCTACACTCCCTTTCTTACAGAAATAAGTGCATGATTTGTTCTTACTTGTTACCCTGTGATGAATTCGGGGCTGGAGATGTAACACAGTGAAAAAACACCTGCCTACCTAGTAGGTGTGAAGTTCTAGGTTCGATTCCCAGCACAAACTAAATATAAAGCAATGATCATTCCGATTAATAAGATGACTCGTAGTTTATGCCCCTTGTGAAGTTATAGAGTTGATGGCGTTTATGACTCTTAGTTTATGTCACCTAAACCCCTTTGTGTAACCAATTTTTTCAAATTATGTTTTCTGTGTTAAAGATCAGGACCCCTTCTGCCAGGGCCTCAGGAAATGACTCCTTTGTTGGGGGCAAGCAATCTCACAAGTTTCTGAGGAATGCTGGTTTTTATCTAATGGCCTCAAGACCTCCCATGGTCAGCTTGAGCTCATCATACAGACTTTCAGAGACCTAACAGTTTGGTAAAGCACTTGTTTCTCACACACAGAGCCCAGTACAGCAAAACACCAAAGGTTTAGTCTTAAAAATCCAGTTATTTCATGACGTACACAATGAAAAGGAACAACCCTACAGCACCTCTCCTTCCCCAAAGGTCTGCTCTGCAGAAATCGATGAACAGCACAACATGCCCCAAATATTTAAAACAAATTCATTATTTCAGACTTTTGTTTTTCTTTTCCTCCCTGTCCCCCTCCTGGAGAGCAAGATACCTGAGGGTCCTTGCATCTTTAGCGGTCCTGCTGTTGTCAGTACTGAACTGACTTTGAGTAATGCAGAACCCCCTTGAATTCAACGTGATGATACTGACATCATCTGTCTCTGTTTCCAGCAAGCTGGCAATCTGTCCACCTCTCTGTTCCTTCGGTCCCTTCTTAATCCAGCTGCTCCTGTTGACTTCTAATGGGTCCTTTAAGGAAAGCCATAGTACCCAGCCCTGTGCTGAGGACATTAGGTGCCTCAGTGTGAGTCTCACAACAGCTTCACAAAATAACCTTGTTATCCCCGTGGATGTCAGTAAGATCGACACTGGACACAAAGGTAGCGGAGAAGCCTCCCTTTAAACTCGGATTAGTTAACACAAAATTCAGTCAGCTCCTATTGCCACAGAAGAAGATGTGTTTTCAAAGTAAATGATTATTCAGTCAGATTAACCCATTTTCTTTTACAGGAGTTAATGTTTTGTGTGAACCCAGCCCTAAATTAACCCAGAACAACCAACCAAAGCTGCTTGGCAGAAATAAAACACCACCATGTAACCCACATAAGTAATTTCACAGTTTTAGTACTGTATTGAAAAAGTTTAAAAAAAAAAAAAAAAGGTAAACGGTTTAAAAACAAAAAGGTGCAGTTAATGTTAATGAAATATCTTTTGTGACCCAGTATGTCAAAAAAGTTAATATAGCCAATAAAAAAATGATTGAAGTATAATAGTTTATATTCTTTTGAACTGAGTTTTTGAAGTCTGATGTGTGTTTTACACTCACTAACGGCAACCTCGGGCAAAAATTCTAACTTTTGAGTATGTGTGATCTACTTCAAATTCATAGCCTAAAAAAAAAAAAAAAAAAAAAATTCATAGCCTACAGCCAGAAATAGCTTCCCATGTCCAGTAGGCCACAGGCAGGCTGTAAAAACTTGTACTAGCTGACTAAAGTACCAAAAAAATTTTTTTTAAACTACGAACATATATAGTGACAAAATATTATTTTTCTGAAAAATAATTTATTTTGCTTGAAATAACAGCATAATACTAAGTCCATCCACATTATATAATTCAATATTATCAGCACTGAACTCATTGAAGTATTACATTACTTGAAAGTTGATTTCCAATTTACCAATATTAGGGCTAGAAAGTGAGAGGAGGAGGAGGAGGAGGAAAAGAAATAAGAAGGAAAAGAAAAGGGAACAGGACTGCTTTAGGTGGAGGAGAAGATTTATTGTAGAGAATGGTAGAGCACAGTTAGAGGTGGGACCTCTAGGATAGTCCAGAGTGGCCATGATCAGATGGAACTGTGCCATGTGGAAGAGGGAGAGGGGAAGGAAAAAGAGAGACAGGGCGACCAGATACAGCAGCCAGTAGGCCAAAGTTTCAAAAAGAGTGGGCAACAAAATGGTTGGATTATATAGGGAAGAGCAGCCCAGACCCCTAGGCAGGAGAGTTCAGGGTAGAGGGTGGGGTATACCAGCATGGTGGGCCCTATAACAGGTAGGGACTGAGGAATGCAGGGAGAACCTGGTGGACTTGTCTCCTCTGAGGTGTTAAAAAAGGGACCTCAGCCATTTGTCCTGGGGGGTTGAAACCAAACCAAGAAGAGGCTCAGCTTTAAGAACACTTGGATGCTCTTGTAGGGGACATCTTCACAGCTCCTTGCTGCTTATAATTCCAGTCCCAAGCAATCAGATGTCTTCCTCTGGTCTCCTCAGGCACCTACACACATCTACACACACACACACACACTTACCAGTACTGACAAAACATTCTTCAAAATTTTCTTGTACTGTTCAAAGCCAGTTTGAATGTTGTAAATCACAATTGAAAGTTTATGTTTTATTAGTTCATGTTGAATAATATGTGTGTGTGGGGGGGGGGCGATTATGTAACATCTTAATTTCCACTCAAGTTCTTGTGCCTGTGTGGCTAGGTCACATATAAAGATAATCTCTGTCTAGTGGCTTCCAATTTATCTTACACACAGTGTGATATAACAGGAAGAAATGTAAAATTTTTATCTTTGAATTATACATATGTGCAAATCATTCCCTGACCCCCTCTTTTGGTTTTTGTTTGATTGTTTTTGTTTGTTTGTTTGTTTGTTTGTTTGTGAGAGGGATTCTCTTTGTAACTCAGAGATCCACCTACCACAGCCTCCAGAGTGCTGGGATTAAAGACGTGCATAACCATTGCCAGTTTATCAGAGTGGAGTCAAAAGTTTAGTAGATTTTTGTGCAGCTTTTCAACACCAGTCAAGAGCCAAGATAATGAAATTGTTTTCTGATTTTGGGAATGACTCTGTTGTGCTCGATTCGTGAGACCCCCAAAAGATAGCCAGGAGTTGAGTCTGTTGCAAAACACATGAGGATCTTTTTATTACAAGCTTGAGCTTGGGCTCACATACTCACCAACGTATCAGTTGAGAGTAGAGCCCTGTCTATTGGTTGAAACACAAAAGAGGATATTGCATTTTGAACTGATTGGCTGTGGGGAGGCCCCAAAACCATGAATGGTCTGGCTTCCCTTGTTTGGCTGTCCTAGGTGAGAGGGGTGATCTGGGCTGTTTTCCTAGCAACTGCATCTCTAGTGGGCAAGAAAGAATGCAGTAAGGCCGGTTCTTCCCAGCAAATGGCTAGACATGTCTCCACCTGTCTGGCCTTTGTTCAGGCGTGTGCTTTAAACTTTAATCCAGTAACCCAAAAAACTAATTTTTAATTCTTTGATCTTTCAACTCCATTTTCCCATGATT